TAATTTTGATGGTGGCCGAGATTCGTAACAATCGTAAGGGAAGCAGAAACAGGAGAGTTGGAGAAGTGCATTGAAATTTAGAATATTTATAGTCTTCTGCTTGAGGGATGAGATGAATGATTTTTTCCATGAAATCTAACTTTGCCCCTGATTCTTGAACTGTTTCCTCAGATTATGTGAAGAAGGTGCCTGTTCTGCATTCGGTTTTAATCTGTTACCTTGCTAGAGTTTTCAGGTGTCCTTTACATTTATTTATTTATTATTCTTTTTTTTGAAAGGGAGTCTTGCTGTGTTGTTCAGGCTGGAGTGCAGTGGCACGATCTCAGCTCACTGCAACCTCTGCCTCCCGGGTTCAAGCGATTCTCCTGCCTCAGCCTCCCAAGTAGCTCAGATTACAGGCGCGTGCCATCGTGCCCGGCTAGTTTTTGTATTTTTAGTAGAGACTGGGTTTCTCCATGTTGGCCAGGCTGGTCATGAACTCCTGACCTCAAGTGATCTGCCTGCCTTGGCCTCCCAAAGTGCTGGGATTATAGGTGTGAGCCACTGCGCCCGGCCAACATTTATTGATTTTAATGCTTTGGTTTTGGCCGGGTGTAGTGACTCACGCCTATAATCCCAGCACTTTGGGAGGCCAAGGTGGGCAGATCACGAGGTCAGGAGATCGAGACCAGCCTGGCTAACAGGGTGAAACGCAGTCTCTACTAAAAATACAAAAACTAGCCAGGCATGATGGCACGTGCCTGTAATCCCAGCTACTCGGGAGGCTGAGGCAGGAGAATCGCTTGAACCCGGGAGGCGGAGATTGCAGTGAGCTGAGATCGTGCCACCACTGCACACTCCAGCCTGGCAACAGAGCAAGACTCTCTTTCAAAAAAAAAAAAACCTTCAGTTTTAAGGTCCATACACTCTTTTGGTGGAAAGACTAGGGTCGGAGTATCATTTGTATTATGGCAGTTTAGCTAAAGAATGTCATTTCTGTAAATCAGTCTAAATTTTGTCATTGAGGGGGAAGGATTTTAGTGGATCTGTTTTAGACTTTTAGCCTGATTGATTTTAAATCAATTGTTTGGCACACTAGAGGGTACTGGATGTTTGTTGAATGAATGGATGCTAGAGTGAATGAATGGAAAGTGGGAACATTGTTTCTTTTACCTGTAACATCAAGGTAGTTCATCAGCCACAAGACTCTGTGTGACTAGACACCAGAAATCATACCACTGGGGAATGGAGGCTGCTGCTCCATTTCAGTGGGTCTGTCTGAAGTTGAAATTTATATTCTTTAGACAGTGACAAGGGGTGGGTGGTCAGAGTAACAAAATCCTTGCTTTTAAGAAGGTAATCTGAATACTGACTGGGGCAGAAAATTACTAAGATCCTATGGATGTGTGAGGATTATTAAACTGATCACTGTCTGATAAGATCAATTTCTTTTTATCTCTACTTCCTGCCCTGAATAGTTGCTCTCTTTAGAAAGTTCATTTTAACTAATTTCTCTTCTCTCTCTCTAATAGGTGAGACCAAACCGGGAATGCTTTCATAATGAACGTCAATCAGTCAGTTCCACCTGTGCCATCATTTGGGCAGCCCCAGCCCGTCTACCCAGGGTATCATCAGTCCAGCTACGGTGGGCAGTCAGGGTCCACAGCCCCCACCATTCCCTATGGAGCCTACAATGGCCCAGTACCAGGCTATCAGCAAACACCCCCCCAAGGTATGTTTCTGTTTCTTTTGAGCTAGGGAGGGAAATCAGCAGAGTCTTCAGGTTGGGTTGTATTGCTCTAGCTAAGCTACCTGAGGAGTTTGGGTGACTGGGATTGAGGAACATAAATCTGGCCCTGTGTAGCTGAGAGCCCTGTGGGCGCCCTTCCCTTTTATTATTATTATTATTATTTTATACTTTTTTGAGACAGAGTCTTGCCTGTCACCCAGGCCTGGAGTGTAGTGGCACGATCTCCAACTCACTGCAACCCTGCCCCCGGGCGTTAAGCAATTCTCCTGCTTCCAGCCTCCCAGTAGCTGGATACAGGCACATGCCACCACGCCAGCTAATTTTTTGTATTTTATTTATGTATTTATTTTGAGACGGAGGTCTCAACTCGTTGCCCAGTCTGGAGTGGCAGTTGCACCAATCTTGGCTCACTGCAACCTCTGCCTCCCAGGGTTCAAGCCAGTTTCTCTGCTCCGCCCTCCCCTGAATAGCTATGATTACAGGCGCCCGCCA